ACGTGGTGATTCAGCAGCCATCTTAAAATCCTGGCCCTGGCAATAACTAATAAAATCCACCAATGTGCACAAATGGTTAGACTAACCATGTTACTAAAAAATAACGAAGAGGGGGAGTTTTTTTTACAATTGGGAATATATGGTACAAACGGGTTGTATAAAAAAGGAAGTAAGGATGTCTAGTGAAGCTGATTAAACAAACAAGGGAAAATGGAAATAAGGATAAATGTATCTATAGCTATGTATATATGTAAAGCAATATAATTAAATAAATATTGTATTATAATTGTAATAATAACATAAAAAGTAAGGATTTAAGAAACCAGTTATAGGTTTACTTGTAACAAATGACTTTAATTGACACTAATAGTACACTGCTATGAAAACGTTGCAAAAATGTGAGAACATGTTTTTCTTTTTTAAAATATATTCTTTTTTTTTAAAAAAAAACACCTTTCAATAAACGTTATTTCAAAAAAAAAAAAAGCCTGGCCCATGCAGAGAGAAATTAGTGCTTTTCTTTTAAGAGGCATTTTTAAAAAAGCTCATTGTGGGTGATTTTCTGGAAAGCAGAATGAGATCGCAGGGAGGCCAGGCAACCAACCCAAAGGAGAAAGATGATGAACATGTCTACGGTGGAGATTCTCAGTCCTCCAGGTCATTGGATGTCCCCAAAGTGCTTTTTTCAAGAGGCAACTCAGGGGTGGGATGCAAATATTTTTACTACCAGTTCTGTGGGTGTGGCTAGATGGGCATGGCTAGGTGGGGCGTGGCCATGTGACTGGGTGGGCGTGGCTTCTTCTTCATTTTTGCAGCTCTCCCCTCCCCTCACATTCTGTTTTTTTTTTCTGGGAGCAAAACCGGTTTCACTTATTCTCCAAATAAGGGTTGACACTGTGGTGTAAAGATAATAATCTTACACTTAACACCCAAAAAAACCTATAGAACTTATAATTGACTTCAGGAGGAAGAGAGATGTACATAAATGGCAAGGAGGTGGAGAGGGTTGGTAGTTTTAAATTTCTGGGCACTTCTATCTCAGAAGACCTCTCATGGACTATAAATGCTAACATGCTTGTGAAGAAGGCACAGAAGAAGAGGCTGATAAATCTATCTCAGCATCTACTTCTGCCCTACTACTGCAGCACCATTGAGAGTGTCCTGACATACGGCATCCTTGCATGGGATGCGAGCAGGACAAAAAAGCTCTACAGAGAATCATTAAAACTGCCCAGAAGATCATTGGGCTCCAGCTACCAGCCCTGGACGACATCTTTGCATCTCGCTGTTTGAGGAAGTTGCACAACATTCTCAGAGACTCTTCCCATCCTGCTCACAATCTTTGTGAACTGTTGCCTTCTGGCAGAAGATGCAGAACAATTAAAATTCAGACCACACGTTTCCTGAACAGTTTTTATCCCAGAGCTATAACTGCACTTAACAATGAACTTAAGGACCACCACCAGTGAGGTGTTGGACAGTATTACTTGTTCTGTTGTGTAGATGCTTGTGTGTTTTTTAGGAGGTGGAGAATTTTGGTGGGTGGGGAGGTGTTTGGGGATTGTCATGTGTGTGCGCATGTTGAGTCTGGTCTCTGAGTGTTATGTGAATTTCGTTGTATGTATACTGTGTACAATGTACACAATGTACACAATGTACACAATGTACAATGACAATAAAGAATTCAATTCAATTCAATTCAAAGCAGGGGTCTCCAACCGTGGCCACTTTAAGACTTGTGGACTTCAACTCCCAGAATTCCTCAGCCAGCAAAGCTGAAGTTGAAGTCCACAAGTCTTAAAGTGGTCAAGGTTGGAGGCCCCTGCTCCAAAGCACCCAAGGGCAGGATGAGAAGTAACGGGTGGAAGCTTGTTCAAAAGAGATCCAGTCTAGAACTAAGGATGATTTTTTTTTCTGACGGTGAGAACAATTAATCAATAGAATAGCTTTCCTCCTGAAGTGGTGGGGGTTCCATCATTGGAAGCTTTCAAAAATAGACTGGACAACCGTTTGACTGGGATGGTAGAAGAGATTTCCTGTCTTGAGCAGGAAGTTGAACTAGAAATCCTTTGTGACCCCTTACAGCCCTATGATTCTACCTTCTATAGCTAGAGTACCGGAGGTGGAGGAGCTAAAGCAAAATTGAAGTAATGCAGTATTTTTCTTCCTCCCTCCTCCAAATCATCCTGCCACCCATATTTCCATTGAAGGCCTTCCATTCCTGGCTGTTGGTTGAGAGCTCCTGAGGTCTCTTGCAAGAGGAGGCCAACAGGATGCTTTGTCAGGAGTTCTGCAGTTTGCAGCAGTTGGACAGAAGCCCAGAGATGCTTCCAACACTTTCAGAGCTCTCGGGAGAGTGGAAAAAAACTCCATCCAACCAGCATCCGATCGCAGCTTGCAGTGTGAGTATTGCCCCAAGGTAACTTTGATTCTGCAAGATGTGATAATTGGAAGAGATTCAAAGCCACATTTCTCGCCGACTGATGGGCAGCATCCAAGAAGGCAAGATTGAATGATCTTCCAGGAAAAAACACAGCCTCATAGATAGTGAAGTGACATCCTCACTCACAAGCAGATAAGATGCGTATTTCAGCTTAGAATTGCCCAATGCCCAGCCCCAATTTCCATCGCCCTGGACTTTCTGGAAGGCCTTGCTGGAGAACAGGTGCAATCAGCCTGGCTTCCACCGAAGACCTGAACATTGCATGAGTCAGAGAAGATACCTGCAAATATCTCACCTCCTGGACATAATGGATGGCGCTGTAGGGCACTGCATGCCAAAACTACTAGACACAAAGACAGTTTGTCCCTGCAAGGTCACATTCTATTCTATTCTATTCTATTCTATTCTATTCTATTCTATTCTAT